CCAGAACAGGAGCTGATATGGTTGTGAACGGCTGTATGAATGCTGAGAACGGAACCCAGGTCCTCTGGAAGGGCAGCCGGTGCTAACTATTTAGCACCCCCTCCCCTCCCCACCTCACCTCCATCACCGTCCCAGAATTCAATTTTTAATCCTCAAGGAATGTGTGAGCTGGTTTTCCACAAGGGTATGAAACACGAGGAAGAGATTGTTAGCTGTGACCTACCCTGTGCAGAGAGACCGCTATGGGGATGAAAGAGAAAGGTGTCTCTGACTCAAGCTGTTTCCTCGTGTTCGTGTGACCCCGTTGCTCCTGCCTTGGTGTCTTATTTCCTCTGCGTATTGCATATTGTTAATATTCCAGAGATCTAACTGGACAGCGAGGACAAGGAGGAAGTTCCTACTGACAGCATAGTCTTGGGGAAGCTTTGTTTGAGGTTTTGCTTGATATACAGTCTTTGGTTTTCGAGACAGGGTCTCTGTGTAGCCCTGGCTGTCCTGAAACTCTGTAGACCAAAGTGGCTTCAAACTCGTAGAAAAGATCCACTTGCCTCTGCCTCTCAAGTGCTGGGATCAAAGGCTGTGCCACCACCCCCAGCTGCCTTTGTATTGTTTTGTTTTGTAGGGGGGGGGGATTGTTGTTGTTTCCAGACAGGGTTTCTCTGTATAGGCCTGGTTGTCCAGGAACTTGCTCTGTAGACCAGAAGATCACTGAGATCTGCCTGCCTCTGCTTCCCGAGGGCTGGCATTAAAGACGTGCACACCACCAACCAACCGTTTTGTTGCTGTTTGTTTTTTAAGGTTGATTTGCCTTTATTTTTTTATGAGTGTTTGCCTACATTTATGTATGTTCACTGTGTGCATACCATAAAAAAGCTTCTATCCCCTGGAGTTGGAATTATAGGTGGTTGTGAGCGACCATGTGGGTACTGATAGCTGAACTCAGGCCTCTCTGCAAAAGCAGCCAGTGCTCTTAACTGGGGAGCCACCTCTCACCCTGATACATTCTTACTTTTATTTAGAGGAATCTTAGTTAAAACTTAATCACAGCCAGCTTCTCAAACAAATAATCTACTTTTTTGGTTTCCTTTTAAGCAGCTCTCCGTCCCATGGTATGTGTATCTCTTAGCAAGCCTGCCATGGCTAGAACTGGAACTCCCTCAAGCTGTTGTTTTCTTTGCCTGTGACAAAGTGTCACTCCACGAGGAGTCCTTTATTACCTGATTTAAAGAAAAAAATCTATCCATGACAGCAACACAAATTTCTGTGACTAGGTTAATGGAACCCTCAAATGATTGTTTTTTGGGGGATCTGCTGCTCGTCTGGAGCTGTTTGCTTGCTGTTGATTCCGAATTCCTTCTCTCCTGTGTCTTTAGCAGCCGCATCATTTCCTGATGACTCTTGCCCTGTCTCTGGAAGCAGATTTTCATCATTTCAAAGGATGTAAACATTTCCAGGCTCCATTGTTTTCATGATGATGAGGGGGAGTGGCTTGTTCTTTAACTTTGATTCTAGGTGCCATGAGCAAGTCCCCAGAAAAGCTACTGCGGGCATAGTCAGGAGTAATGACAGAGTCCCACAGAGGAAACTGTCAGACCCTAGAGTCCTCTTGTCCCTTCATAATCATGGCCTTGCCTGCCCCAGGGACAGCTGCTGTTCTGACCTTCTCCCCATGGTGCTGCAGGTGGAGCTAGGGGCCGTAGTCTGGTATGTAGAGTACAGCATGAACCAAACAATATAGTCCAGCTTCGTCTGCATTTACAGATGGGTCGTGCTGAATGCAGGCTCTTATGTTTTGCCCCTTTTATTCGGCATCTTAAATTAATTCATCCATGTTTAGGGATGTCATAACATGTCATGCATCTTTGTTGCTATATAGTGCTGTTTGTATGTATATGAAAAGCCTATAGAGTTTAATCCATTCATATCAACATTGACTGGTGAGAATCGGAGTTTGTTCCGGGTTGTGGCTACTGTGAACACTGTGCTCTGTGATGCAAGCATGCATGGATTTTTCTAGGAGGAATGGATTTTTTTGGGTCACACGGTGCAGTCAGGCCTCCATGTCTGTGGAGTCAACCTATCTTGGGTGGAAAACATTTGGGGAAGGTGCTGCACTTACACTGAACAGGTACATATTCTTTTCTATGTACATAAACAATACAGTCTAACAACTATGCCCATGGCATTTGCATTTTGCTATCAAGTTATCTAGAGGTGATTAAACATATCTGTGAGAACATGCACAGGTTAGATGCAAATACTGTGCCATTTTGCCTGATAGGCATCCTTGGATTTTGGTATGCTCCAAGGTCCTAAACCAACACCCTATGAATCATGTATGTGGATCAGTCCCCTGTGGATGATATAGTTAGACCAGTCCCCTGTGGATGATATAGTTAGACCAGTCCCCTGTGGATGATGTCAGTGGTTCAGTCCCCTTGGATGGTGTATGTGGTTCAGTCCATTATGGATGGCATAGGTGGTTCAGTCCCCTGTGGATGGTGTATGTGGTTCAGTCCCCTGTGGATGGTGTAGGTGGTTCAGTCCCCTATGGATGGTGTAGATGGGCCAATACCCTATGGATAATATGGTTGAACCAGTCTCATGAATGATATAGTTAGACCAGTCCCCTATTACCACACACCATTCGCTAGAATCCAGTTCGTGAGCTTCGGGCAAGGGGCTGGAGGTTGAGAAAACACACACAGAGACAAACAGACACACAAACCTCCACTCACTGGTACAAAGCCCTTCTTTAATAGCACCATGGAGGCTTAAATACCCAGCAGTCAATGGCCAACAGGTGAAAATCCCATCCTCTGATCCTCTAGGCAAGGCACAGCTTTTTTTTTTTTTTTTAATATTTATTTATTTATTATGNCCTTCCAGGTAGCGCCCCTCCGAGACCCTGGAGTAACTTGATTGCGGGTGGGTTACTAACCCCTAGACTGAGTAGCCCACCCAACGCAATCCACAGGGAACTTGAGCCCAGGTTTTAGTGGGAAAATTACTCTGCCAGGAACAGAGCGTGGCTTTACAGTAGTAAAATGCTTGTTCCCTTTATTCTCTCTTTTTTTAAAAATATTTATTTATTTATTATGGATACGATATTCTTTCTATGTGTATGCCTGCAGGTCAGAGGAGGGCACCAGACCTCATTACAGATGGTTGTGAGCCACCATGTGGGTAGCTGGGAATTGAACTCAGGACCTTTGGAAGAGCAGGCAATGCTCTTAACCTCTGAGCCATCTCTCCAGCCTCCAAGGCACAGCTTTTAGCAACTCCAATTAGAAGGCTCTAGACAGGGAAGAACAGCTGAAGGCCAGGACTCCAATTGGTCCCAACACCCTATGGATGATTTAGGTAGACCAGTCCCCTGTGGATGATGTAGATGGACCAATCCCCTATTTATGATTTAGGTAGACCAGTCCCCTGTGGATGGTGTAGCTGGACCAGTCCTCTATGGATGATGTAGGTGGACCAGTCCCCTATGGATGGTGTAACTGGTCCAGTCCCCTATGGATGGTGTAAGTGGACCAATACCCCACTGATGATGTAGGTGGTCTAGTTCCTATGGATTATATAGGGAAGACTATTTATGAATCTTTGCTCTATTAATTCTGTCAATGGGTCCCAGTTTCAGTTGTCCCTAGAAATATACAATGTGCACTTTCTTGAATGGTGGACTTGTACCTTCAGCACGGCCCCAGTGCAGCATGGCCTGCGTGGTCGCTCAGAAGGACACTACTATCATCATCCTGCGTGGGCTTCCTGGGATGTAGTCATGAAGCTTTGCCACTGATGATCAGTGGGGCTCAGAAGAAAAGCGCAGGAAAGGGCCTGAGGGAGCTGCTACTGTGTCCCCGTCCCCCACACCAGCGTTTATCTACAGTTATCATCGTACTTTTCGACTTGGGTCAACAGGGCGGGTTTCTCCTCATAGCCTCTTTTGCATTTCTCTGATTACTAATACAATTGAGTTTCTTTTGTACATCTGAGTCACTGAATGTCTCCTTTTGGAAATGTGCGCCCATGCCTTTACTGCTAGGCCACTTAGCTGGTTTGTAGGAATTATAGATGGCAAGATACTCGTGGTTTGTCAGTAGTATAAGCCGTGGAGAATATTCTCATTCTCTCTCCCCGCCCCCGCTTTGTGTGTGCACGGGTGTGTGTGTGTGAGTGTGTGTGTGTGAAGGCCAGATGTTGACACTGGGTAGCTTCATTTGCTCTCGGCATTATTTATTGGACCGGAGGAATTACTACACCTTACACTGGTCTAGAATCGCTGGTCACTGAGCTCTAAGAGTCTTCCTGTCTCTGCCACCCAAGCCCAGGCCTTTGAAAACCTTGGGGAACAGTTAGTTGACAAACAGCTTTTATAAGTCCCACACTTCTTCCTGATTGCAAAGATGGTGGAAGCCAGGCATGGAGACCCACACTCAAGTCCCAGCACCCAGGAGATGGGGGCAGCAAGACCACCAGACTGAGGCCAACCAAGACTAAGTAGTATCTTAAAAACCAAAAACAGACAAACAAAAAAGTCTATGTACTCACTGTATGAAATGGTCTGTGATTGTTCCGTTAGCAATAACGAGGGTTTAACGTACATGTGTTAATGTAGTTTCTTTTACGCTGCCCCTTGCACTCTCTCTTGTTCTTACTCGTATCATAAAGTTTTGATTTTCTTGTTTATTTTGCCTTGGATAAAATTTTATTAACTGGAAGAAAATACTAGTCCTTGTGGCAAGATACATATAGAATTCCCCCAACTGATGTTTCATAAAATCTCTTTTGATTTTGCGGTAATTTTGGACTCCTGTAGACAGAGTACAAAGAACGCCCACATACGCTCCAGTCATCGGTCCCTTCGTGTTGACACCTCAGTGTGTTCTTCCTTAGGCCTGCTCATTCTGTACCTAAGCCCTCCTCACTCTGCATTAAGGAAGGGCAGGATTTGAACTCTCCTTTTTGACGTGTTTTGCTTTCTTCTGCCTGCCCAGGTTACTACAACAACAGCACAAAAGTGGCCGTAAAGACCCTCAAGCCGGGTACCATGTCTGTGCAGGCCTTCCTGGAAGAGGCCAACCTCATGAAGACCTTGCAGCATGACAAGCTGGTGCGGCTCTACGCCGTGGTCACCAAGGAGGAGCCCATCTATATCATCACAGAGTTCATGGCCAAGGGTGAGTAGCCTTCGGAGTCCATACCCCTACAGGAGGCAGGCCCCGAAGCTAAGTGTTCAAGTGTCCGGAGAACATTCCGTCTTAATGTGAAGAGCGCTTAAATACTGGAAGTCAGAAAGTAATACAAAGAGCATTTTCATAGGCATAGGCAGAGGACGGTATGTTTCTTATTTACTTAATAATTCTAAAACTGCTTCTCTTTTCTACTTAGCATTATTTAAATTTCTGCGTGTTATTTGAGAATGTTATGGTTAAACCTCCACAGGGTCTGTAGTTGTGGCTCACATGGAAAGCTTGGATAGTGCACGGATTTAGTTAATGTTTTAACTCCCCCATGCTGTGGAAGCCCTAAAGAGGTTCTAGGTTCTCTTTCTCTGTTATCCTTCTTCAGGATGGCTTTTACTCATTGGTCTTTTCTTCACCTTCAGTCTGGTAGGAATAAACTCCCCCCCCCCTTTTCCTTAAATCTTTGGAAGAATGAATGAAGGAAACAGATCAACATGAGCAACTGTCAGAGCTGGTATGTGAGTGATTGCTTTCAGTGCTGTTGATCACACCTAGGTCCTCACTCGCGGTTGACAAGTACTCTTACTTAGCATTGGGCTAAGTAAGCCAATAGGTTAGAAGTATGGCTACTACCTTTTCTAAAACTTACTATCTGTTAATGATTGCTATTCAGAATAGCATTTACTCAAAAGCATTCCTCAGAAGAGGACGTGTTCAGTTTTGTGCTTTACTTTTGTGTCCCAGCCTCATGGATATTGTTAAAAAATATAAATAAAACTATATGGCTTTAGTTGCTGTAACTCAGAAACCATATTCAAGGCTAGGAGCTTCGTGAGGTCAGAAATACTACTGAATTAACTAATGCTATTTGAACTGTAAATACAGGTGTGGAGTGTAACAGTAGCTAACACTTACTGGGCACTCGGCGTCTACCACTGTTTCAGTGCTTTCTGTGTCGAAGAACTGAGTGTCAGTCTGGGATTCCGTGTCGTGGGTGATGTGGGGCAGTGTTTCCTCTCTGCCAAGCCCCACACTGTCTGCCTTATATCCTCTTGCTTACACCCCCTCACAAGAACTCCTACAGAGCTACGGTGCCCACTTTGCAAAGGCCTGGCATTAAGGGAGTACACCAAGGCTACCTGTGAGCCTGGTGCTGGGAGTTCTCAGGGAAAGGAGGTCTCACAGATATGAAACCCAAGGAAGTAGGAGAGGCTGCTGCCAGCACTGGACTTAGGAAGCTAATGTGTCCCTCACACATCAGCTCTCCCAGAGCCTCAGGCTCTCCTTCCTGTGTTGGAACAGAACAGAGCAAGCCTAGCCTGATGCCTGCAAGGGACAGGCCATCCGTGAGGACAGGACATACTTCTTTCTTGTCTTTCTGTCCCAGACAAGTTGATCAGGCAGCGGCGGGATGTTGACACACTGGCAAGAACTCTACCCAGAGCCTTGAACACGCTGGGCAAGCACTCTGCCCGAGATCCCACAAGCCCTTGGATGGTATTTCTCTACTCATGTGTTTGAGTTGCATTGACCTGTCTGTCATTCCTCTGTCTGCAGGCAGCTTGCTGGATTTCCTCAAGAGTGACGAAGGTGGCAAGGTGCTGCTCCCAAAGCTCATTGACTTTTCAGCACAGGTGAAGTATTAGCAAGCCCAGTGTGTGTGTGTCCAGTCGGTGTTCTTGGGGAGACACCAGGGTGCCTGCCTACTCTTCCTGGTCTCCCTGTTGACTGTCTCACTACGAGTCTGAGAAAAATTCATTTGTAATGTTTTGAATACTAACTAACCCAAGAGGTAGCTATTTATTTTGGAGTTACAAACTTCCTGAAGTGTGTTTATAAGCAAAGCGAATTACCCCAAAACCAAGCAACATGCCTGGTGCAGTTCCTTGGATTGGTTAGTCATGCCTGGCACTTTGCTTGTTCTGTGTTCCTTGGATCGGTTAGTCATGTCTGGCACTTTGCTTACTTTGCTCTTCAGTATTGGCCATTGGAGATTCAGGCTGGAAAGCTAGAAAGCTATGTGTGGTGCAGTCCAATGACAGATGCTTAAGCTTAACACCTTAAGAAGGAAAGTCCCTGTTGCTCTAGTGACAGTCCGAGAGGACCTGGGCTCATCGCCTAAGGAGGAAATGGGAATGTGATCTGTACCATCAGCCTCTGATAGAACAGCGACAGCCATGGTGGAGAAGCAGTGAGGGAAAGAAGCCAGGAGCCCTGCCTTTTTAGCCGTCCTTACGCCCCCATCCTGGCCCTGGCTCCGGGGTGCCCCTGCGGGGCTCCGCGCACTCACCATCATAGTATGAAGCCTGCCACCCTGCAGTAAAAGCAGCGTGGCTGGGTGCAGCTGTGGACCCCACAAAGCTAGCAGAACAGGAAGCAGAGAAAGCAGAAGTCTGATAAGTGTGTATCACACGAAACACAGATAAAGAGGCCTCTGCTCTAGTGCATGTGGGCTTTCCAACTAGGCCAGAGATTAGAGGAGCTCACATGGGGCAGGGCTACGGAAAGATGGCACACATGGCCCGAGGGCTACACAGGCTTGCTCTTCAACCCACCTGAGGCTCAGTCTGCGCTCATAGCTCTTTGGGTCAGACACTACACATGGCAGGTATATGCCGGATCAAAGGCTGTCTTTCCCTTTTTTGCATAAGCATCCTTGTTTGATTTTGTACATCTTATTTGGTAAAACATTATCTTGCTGTAGTGGAAATTTCTGAGGTCAAGTCTGGGCGCCTGAGGCTACCACAGAGGGTAACTTTTTTCTGCCTTGTAAGACTTTGTAGCTTGCAGACATGATGTCCACAGAACCTGCTCTCACTGTGGCTGTGCAGCTAGGTACCAGGCAGGTTAGGCGACTTCACTGGAACTAGTTTGAGTCCCCTTGGTGACTGGAAAGGCTAGAAGCAATCAAGATGCCACCACTGTTCTATCCAGCTTGTGTTGGATGAGCTCTTATCTCTGTGTCCCAGAGAATCCTTCTAGTGAATGATCCCGGGTCAAACTGCTGAATCTTCAGGGCAAATGTGAAAGCTGTTGTCAATGAGACTGTCACGGTCAGCAGCAGCCAGGGATATCCTAAGAATGCAGGCTTAGCACAGATTCCTCCCCTCCTCCCTTCCATCCTCCCTTCCCCCTTCTTTCCTCCCTTCCATCCTCCCTCCCATCCTTCCATCCTCCCTTCCTCCCTCCCTCCCTCCCTGCCATCCTTCCTCCCTCCCTTCCATCCATCTATCCGTCCATCCTTCCTTTCTCCCTTCCATCCCTCCTTCTCTCCCTCTCTCCCTTCATAGATTGAACCCTGGGCCCTGAACATACGGTGCTTGTATCTGTCACTCAGCTACACCCCCAGACAAATGTGTTTCCGTTGTAACTGAGCCCTAGCTCCTTTTGAGTTCATATTTGTTCGAGACACATCTCACCCAACCCTCGGGCGGCAGCTGTGAGAGCACCTGTCGTCCCTCCTGCCTTTATTATTAATTCTATTTGCGTGTGACTTTCCCAGCTGTAACGGAGGTGGTGGGCTCACCCCTGACAGCAGGCCGAAGTCACACCCCTCACACACTGACCTCTGCAATCCCCCCGATACCCCTGCGATGCTCTTGGTTCTGTGTATGGTGGCATTGCCCAGTGTGCTGCCTCCTCTTTCCTGGAAAGTCGTTTTCTCACCTACCACTAACTGTCCGTTCTCTATGGTGAATCACAAGAGACACTGACTGTTTAATAAAACTGATCCGAGCTGACGGCTGGTGGTCAGATCCTCAGATAATCCACCCCCACGCCCTCTATCTTTTCCTCAGCTTATTTCTTGGGGTGAAAATTAGATGAGTCCACTTGGTATTTGAGCCCTAACCTGACCGGTTAGTGGGGTGTACAATACGTCGATGGCCACTGTGGCCCATTATCATTGTCATATATGGTCGTGAATGGAGAACATGACTGGTCGCCATGGATACCATGACAGTCAACAGTAGAGATTGGCTATTGGGACTGGAGATGGGTCTGCTAGCAATCACAGCCTCAGAAGAGCAAGGAAAAGTGTGAGGGGCAGAGTCGGGACTTCCCCATGACCTACTTCCTCTCTACCTTCTCCTCCCCTCCTTCCCTGGGTGTCCAGTTGAGACAGGAAACCGCTGGTGCACATGGCCACCTCCCAGTTCATGTGAGAGCTGATTTCATCACTTCCTGTCTCCGGAAAGCTCTGAAAAGTCTCATGGGACCCAGATGTAACCCGTGCTCCTCAGCCATCCCCTCAGCCCATGTACTCCTGCTCTCTGGGGGAGATGAAGAAACTTTGACAAGAGATCAGTTCCTCACAGCTTCTCTCCCTGTACTTACTGGAGCAGTTCTGTGCTCTGCTTTGATCAGAGGAGAGCGGCGTTTCTAAGCAGAATGCCTTTTCTTTTTTTTTAAAAAAAATATTTATTTATTTATTATGTATACAATAGTCTGTCTGTGTGTATGTCTGCAGGCCAGAAGAGGGCACCAGACCCCATTACAGATGGTTGTGAGCCACCATGTGGTTGCTGGGAATTGAACTCAGGACCTTAGGAAGAGCAGGCAGTGCTCTTAACCTCTGAGCCATCTCTCCAGCCCCCAGAATGCCTTTTCATCGGGTATTCTGATGACACCCAGGCTGTAGAAGAAGCGTGCTTGGCAGGAGAAGAGTTTGAAATTAGTCAGCAACATCCTGGGGCAGAATCAGAGGTGGAATCACAGGCTCTGAAAACTGGGAAGAAAACTAAGTGCAGAATCCAGAAGGACCGTACAGTGATTGGATAAATCACGTTATCTTTCCAACCCAGGGAAATAAAACATTTATTGCTACTTGGCAGCAACATCTCTGAGGGGCCAACTTTATCTGAAATGAAACAATAAATTATCTCAGAGCAAAGCTGCAAAAGCCAGTTCGTCATGATCATGTGATCGTGGCAGCAATTAATGTTTGTTTTAGCATCTTCTAGTTGATGAAGCACATCCCTTACCCAATGAGAGCCCAACAACTTTGATGGTTTATATTGCTATTTATATGTTTCACAAATGAGTGAGAAAATAGGAACTTTCAGGTAGAATTGCTTGGACTGTGTCCTGGTCTGTCTTCTGACTACAGACCCTTGGCTCTTTCTTCTGTATTGCATGGTCATTTGGTGACCAGTGTTCATCCTGCCACAGCTTTGTGCCCGGCCCACCACAATGGGCATTTTACATCCTTGGCAGATCTTTGCCTTGCTGATGAGTTGAGGATTTCTTTAACTCCTTTCATCTTTCCATTCGTCTTTATGGACAGCATGCATCTTTCTTTCTTCTGAGTCTGGACCTGAACTCCTGATCCTCTTGCCTCTGCCTCCCTCATGCTAAGATTACGTATATGCACCACCACCCCTTACTAAATGTTTGCATCGTGTAGCAATTACCCTCAAGATGTATTTCTCCACTGGTATTAAATTTGAAGTTACAACTTAAGTTGAAATTATTAAACTGAGGAAAGGACTACATCTAAGTATTTATCAGCCTCTTTCAATACCTAGGAGACTGACTAGTCCTTTTGTGATAAATAGGCCAAAAGGGCCAGGATGGAAATGTCCTCAGGAAGCATTAAATATTTGACAGTATCATCAGATGCAGTATGATATCATGTTATCTCTTTGCTGTCTGCGGGAGAAACCGAAGAGAAGCAGCCCTTTCCTTTCCCAGCTTGTGACTGCTAGCCAGCCTTTCCCCTTCACCATCACCATGGCTTCCATAGTAGCCTAAGAGAGCAGTGGTTCTCAACCTGTGGGCCAAGAAACCTTTGGGGGTGAGTGGCCCTTTCACAGGGGTCGCCTAAGACCATTAGAAAACACAGGTGTTTACATGACTCTTCCTAACAGTAGCAAAGTCACAGTTAGGAAGTAGCAAGAAAATATTTGTATTTGGAATCACCACAATGCGATGAATTGTCGAAGATCACAACATTAGGAAGGTTAAGAACCTGTAATAAAGGAACTAACTACTTTATGTTCAAAGCATTATTTCAAATCTAAAAGTATCTGGCACTGGGGATTGAACCCCAGACCAGTGCATGCAAGGCAAGCGTTGTACCAAGGTACACAGCAGCCAGCTCCTCAGCACTAGTGTCTAGAGCCTGATTGCCACCCTCCTCAGCTTATTTCAACAGAGCAAGAGGCACTGGCACATAGGATCCAGCTCGGTGGCAAGTAGAAGCCCCCAGCAACTGCCTTGGCTTCTGCATCTTCTAGAAAGCCACATTCGCTTTCCTGGGAATTCTCACGGGTGCCTCTCTATTGCAGCCTTTGCACTTTCAGGTCCTCTTGATAGCACAAGAGTGGGAGAGACCAGCAATGAAGTGGGAATTGAAAAGAATATTGTGATCTGAGGTGTTGCTGTAGATAAAGGAGCCAGGTAGATCAGGACAAGATGCTCGGTGCGCATCATTAGGGAGTGGTTGCCTGGAAACCATGACTTCCCCATGCACAGTGGCCTACACAACTGGTGCTTGCATCATCCTGTGAAACAGAGGAAACACTGCTACATTTTTTAAACGGCACTATACATAGCATCAGTGATCCAGAAAACATTGGCCTAAGAGCCGGGAAACATGCTTCCCTGAAAACCGTCACGCCCTGCAAGGCTACAC